TTTACAGATGCTGGAGTCATCCAGACACCCAGGCACAAGGTGACAAAGATGGGACAAGAAGTAACCCTGAAATGCCAACCTATTTCTGGTCATACAGCCCTTTACTGGTACAGTCAGACCTCGGTGCAGGGACTGAAGCTGCTGATCTATTTCAACAATCAAGCTCCTATAGATGACTCGGGGATGTCCAAGGAACAGTTCTCAGCAGAGATGCCTGACCAATCATTATCCACCCTGAAGATCAAGCCCACAGAACCCCAGGACTCAGCCACATACCTGTGTGCCAGCAGTGTAGACACAGAGCTGCATAGTCACCCCCTCCCTGTACAGAAACCCTCAAGCTTCCCGTTCTCCCTCTAGCCCCCAGCTGTCCTCAGCAGTCTTTCGAAGGTTCTCCCCTGTCAGTACAAGGATATGAGTCTAGTGTTCTCCATGTCTCTGGGGAAGGCTAGAACAGATACTTCCCAAGTATCACAGTAGAAAACTTTTGGTAGGAAGACAATAGGGGGTTGGCTCTGGAGTTCTTCACAAATTCTCACAGAGGGTGACTGAGTCCAAGACTGATGGTAAAAGTCACCCACTGGGCTTTCAAGTGATTAAGTGAACCCCAAACTGTGCTGTCACAAAGCCTTACATAGCCTGGGTTCTCCTGAGTTAGTGATCAGTGCTCCCTCCCACCTTTGCTTTCATCAGAATAGTTACAGGGGCGTGATTGTCTCCCCAGACCCACCCAGCCCTTACCATTTCTTCCAAACCTCCCTGTTCCCAGTTTTCCACAACAGTCTTCCTTAATTGTAGCACAATTATTTTCCACACTCCCATTTTTTTTTTAGCTTTTCATTTAAAAATCACTATAGTTTCACAGGAAATTGCACAGCAGAACAAAGGAGCCCAGTCACCCATCATCTGGTTTCCACCCATGGTCACATCTTACATAATCATACTCAAGATATCAAGACCATGAAGTTGACATTGGCCATGAGTGCAGAAGCAGTTCTACATCATTTCTGTCACACATATAGGTTCACACAGTCACCACCACAGTCAAGATGCAGAGCTGTTGCAAGAACCCCAAATCTCCCATTATAATGTCACACACACGCGCATGCAGAATTTGTGGTGCAATCACACACATCACCCCTAACCTCTGGGAACCACTGATCTACTCTCTATATCTATAATGTTGTCATTTTGAGACTGTTTCCTATAGTAGGTGACCTCTTGAGATGGGCTTTTTTTCCTCACCATATTGCCCTTAAAATTCAGCCAAGATGCTGCATTTATCCAGAGTTCATTTCTTTTATTGCCGAGTTGTGTTTCACCGCATGGATGTACCAGAGTTTGTTTAGCCGTTCACCTCCGACAGGACATTTTTGTTGTTTCTAGTTTTTGACTATGACAAATAAAGCTTGTATATATAAGCATTTGTGCTCAGGGTTCTGGGTGGACATACGTTCCCATTTCTCTGGGATACATTTATGCCCAGGAGTGAGACTATTGGGTTACCTGGTGAGTGTGTTTTTTACCTTTGAAAGACACAACCAGGTAATTTTCCAGAGTGGCCGTACCATTTGACACTCCAAGAGATTGTTTATTTGTTTGTTTATGGGAGAGAACACACGCGCACACACACGTGAGGGGGCAGAGGGAGAGAAAGAAACAGATTCCCTGCAGAGCAGGGAGCCCGACATGATGCTGGATCCCAGGACCCCGAGATCATGACCTGAGCTGAAGGCAGAAACCCCAAGATTCATTTTTTAATACTAGTAATTTCAATTTCCATGTAACATTCCACTTTATCATTTCCATATCACCACATGCAAAGAACTAAAAGGATAGAAAAAGCGAACATGGTAGACCCAAATACTCTTTTCTTTGGATGAGTCTGTACTCTTCTCTTCAGAGATATTTGAATTCTTTCTGTCCTTATCACCTGGGGTCTGCCTCTTTAATCTACTCATCACCGTTTGCTGCTGCCTGATGCACGTCAGCCATTCAGAAAGCTATGAATCCACTGCCAGGTGCCCGGTTCATGAAAAACAGAGTTCCCAAATGATGTCTCCCCCGAGGTACTTTGTTCAACCAGTTCTAAATGTACACCCTGACTTCTCTGGGTATGTCCTTGTTGGATCCAGGACCACAAATTCTTCCCTGGATTTTGTCAGAAATTCATAGACATAACCTCGCAATTCATCCTGGTTGTGGTAATTCTCAAATTCTGCAGTTTTCTTTTTCACAGCTATTTCAACGGCAACCCACGTACATACATGTAAGATTGTAATACAGTCAGCAATGCTCCAGTGGCATTTGGCTCTAAGAGGTCTGTGTTCTAAGTTTCACTGGAAATTCAAGATCATGTGACTATTGTTCTATAACCCGAAATCTATGTCATAATCCTAGATTTGCTGTTCCCAGATCCTGACTTCCCAGTGGAAGTGGAATGGTAAGGAATTGAGTTCCTCTTACTGGCATTAATTAGTGGTATTTTTTGTTTCTGTGAGTGACCCTCATAGGCACTGGTGTCCCTTTTACTTTTCATTATTGCTTCTCAAGCATTTCTCATCTCTCCTACCTTAAAACCCCCAACATCTTGGATGGCATGCAAAATGGCCTAGATGATGACTGGGCTTCTCAGTCTGTTCATTTGCTCACTTCAATGATCATTTCCCCCAATGCATCTCAGATACATCCACTCTTTATATTCTAGACCTGTAATCACAAATAGTTTGAACCACCTCCCAAATCACTCTCTCAAACGTCATACTCTCTCCCACAACCTCCTCTCCTTCCATCCCTGGTACTACCCAGCAGCAACTCTTCAACCCCATTAGAAACTATAATACTTTATATTTGACTTTTCCTCTTCTCCTTCTACTGTATTAGTACTTTTCGTATCTGGGCATGGGGGAAAAGGATGGTGTCTACTCTCTGCCTCTTTGAGTGGCACAGAGAATCTATAATGTTTCTGACTCACATCAAGAAGCATTACAATCATAAACTATGTCTTGAGGTCCTTAAGGCCATCTCAACTAGGAGGCCTGTCAACTTTTCTTTTATTAAAAGAGTTGGTGTTTTTTATTGCTTGTTAGTTTCAACCATCAATCACATAGCTAAGGTTTTTGTTTGTTTGTTTTTTTAAGTAGGCTCCACGTTGGGTGAGTTCAGTGCAGGGCTTGAGCTCATGACTCTGAGATCAAGAACTGAGCTGGGATCAAAAGTCGGATGCTTAACCCACTGAGATACCCAGGTGCCCCCAATTGTAGTTAAATTCTTGATGACTAAAAAAAGCACCAAAAAAAAAAAAAAGAGTATGTTCCAGAATGTCTAGAATGTATGATCTGATCTCATTGATGTATAGAGTGCTTCATTTCACAGGCATGAAAAAGTTAAAAGAAAACCAAATATGTTTGTTTGTTTTGTAGAGATGATCAGGAAAAACTGTCAAGGGGAACATGATTTGTATGGTATATAAAGTGATTTAAGAAAAATTAGATTAGTAGGGGCTCCTGGGTGGCTCAGTTGGTTTAGCATCCAACTCTTGACTTTGGCTCAGCTCATGATCTCAAGATCATGAGATCGAGCCCCTGCAAGGGGCTCCCCATTTAGTGGGGAATCTACTTGGGATTATCTCTCTCCCTCTCTCTCTGTCCTTCCCCCAACTCATGCATGCTCTCGCTTTCTCTCAAATAAAAAAATTAATCTTTAAAAAAAAAAGAAAAAATTAAATCAGTAAAATTCCTTATTTAATTTTATATACACTTGCATATATTTGTACAAAGGAAAGAGGAAGTTGTAAAATGTACCTCTGATTATTTCGGATGAAGCTACAGAGGAAGAACAGGAAGAAGATAGTTACCCTTGTCTTTGTCCATTTTTCTTTCTAAATTTGAAATACCACTCACCTACTACACAAAATATAGGTAATTTACAAAGAAAAAGAAATTCACCAGTTAGAAGAAAAAAAGAGAATTTATAGGCCGAGCAAGGAAGAGCCAAAGCTATGGGAACCTACCAGGTTTCAGTCCAATCTAGGCCTCACAGTTGAGGCTGGCTTTTAGTGCCCATATGATAGAGATGACACAGGACCTATAATGACATCTCCTGCATTCATCCTGAAGCTTCCAAATGGTCACAAGCTTTATAGACCAAAAGCTATTATAACACAAAGACCCTGAAATCTGGCTAGAAAAGTGAGTGTTTGGTCAGGACTTTAAGTGCTAGATAAAACGGAAAAGTTAACAGAGAAAAACTGAAATTCTAGACTATGTCTTATAAGTTTGGAACAAACTTATTAACTTTGGAACAAAATATTACCCTTCCTGTGTGGTGGAAACCGTATGTTCAGAAACTGACAAAAAGGTCTATAACCACTGAAACTCTTGGGGACCCAACAGGAAGAAATTCATATGGTCCTGGGAGTGGACTTCTGCTTCCACCCAAGATGGATTAACATGAGTCGATTTAACCTCCTACTTGAAACAGCTAAAACAAACATAATATATGAAACAACAGTTTTCAAAACATTATGAATCGAGCAAGAAGGTATGGCGATCCCTAAGAGATGGGAAAGGACTGGGATGAGCACTATGGCCATCTACCTTGCTACCTGGAGTAGGGCCACGGTGGGTCCCAGGAGGGGAAACACAGGTGGAGCCTGGTGAGCACCCTGAGTTCAGAGTCTGAGTTGAAAATACAGGGACTGAAGGAGAGATGCTTCTAGATGCTTTTCTATTGGCCACAAGGAGGCATTATGGTGTCACTGATAGCAGAGAGTGGTAGAGAATGTCCTTGATACTCTGAAGTGTGGGTATAAATAGAGGAATTGCAGGGCTTGATTTCTGTATTAAGGTGGGAATCGTTTGCAGCCATAAGTCATCCATCTCTGATGCCAACAGCAAGACACAAAGACATTCTCTCAATAGGTTTATAAATAATAGTTTAGCAAAAGCTCTTCCTGTGTTGAGGAACATTTAACCTCCCTTACAGGGTGTAAGAAATGAGGAACGAAAGGCCAAGATGAGCATGGGGTAGATATAGGAAGAGAGGCAACATGAGGCAGCACCACCTCTGCTCCACACGTGATCTGGCCAAGCCTGGGTTCTGCTGCCAAGCCAGAAGCTGTATGTAAGATCACAACAAGGAGTGACCCTTGCCTTGGTGAAGCCAACAGCAGTCATCGCAGGCAGATCTACCTGTCAGGGACCGGAGACTCTGCACCCCCATCTCTCCACCCAGAGATCAGAGTCTGGAGCAGACAGAAGCTCCATTCCTGTTGGTCCTGCCATGGCTCCCGGGCTGCTCTACTGTGTGGCCTTTTGTCTCCTTGGAGCAGGTGAGTCCTGGTCAGAAAAGAAGTCTTTTGACTAGAGCTATCTTGTCCTCAGTTTTGTACCTTTCTTTCATAGCAGCAATAGCAATCTCCTTCTTCACTCTGTCTCTACATTTTCTTTCTCCCTCTGCAGGTCCCATGGGTGCCATGGTCATCCAGAGCTCAAGATACCAGGTTACGAGGGTGGGGAAACCAGTGAATCTGAGCTGTTCTCAGAATATGAATCATGACAGCATGTATTGGTACCAACAGAAGCTGAACCAAGGCCCAAAGCTGCTCCTCTACTTCTATGATACAGACCTTAACAAAGAAGCAGACACCTCTGATAACTTCCAGGCCAGCTGGGCCAACACTTCTTTCTGTTCTCTCAACATCCTCTCGCCAGGCTTGGGGGACTCAGGAGTGTATCTCTGTGCCAGCAGTAAAGACACAGAGCTGTAGTGTTACCTCTCCCCTGTTCATAAACCTCTCTGTTTCCCGGATCCAAGATCCTCCTCTAGATCAACCCACCTGCCCATCCTACAACAACAGTAGGAAGTGGGTTTATGGCAGTCATCCCTTCGTTTGTAGAGAAGCTGGGCAGAAACCTACGAAAACCACTGACAGTTAGGCCAAGAGTAGAAAAGTGGTTACACTCACCCGGCGTTCAGTTTGTGGTATTTCCCCAGGATCACCTTAGCCACTCATTCTGTTCTCTTTAGTACAAAATAGGAACTTTTTAAAGACTGTTTTGTGGGATGCCTGGGTGGCTCAGTAGCCTCTGCCTTGATCTCAGGGTCCTGGGATCGAGCCCCGCATTGGGCTCTCTGCTCAGGGGGAGCCTGCTTCTCTCTCTCTCTCTCTCTGCCTGCCTCTCTGCCTACTTATGATCTCTGTCTGTCAAATAAATAAATAAAGTCTTTAAAAAAAATAAAAACTGTTTTGTTTTTTAAGCATAAGAGACTCAATCTCACAAAACAAACTAAGGTTTGCCGGGGGGAGGGGGCTAGGGATAGAGTGGTGGGGTTATGGACCCCATGGGAGGGCATGTGCTATGGTGAGTGTTGTGAAGTGTATAAACCTGGTGATTCACAGACCTGCACCGTTGGGGCTAATAATACATTATATGTTTATAACAAAATAAAAAATTATAAAAAAAATAAAGATCAAGTGATATGATCAATGGAAAAAGAACGGTTTTGTTTTTTAATATAAGTTGGAGACCTGGAACTATGAAAAAGGGCAGACCTGCCCAGACAAGAGGTGGCCCCACTCTCATGAATCCTTGCCCTAAGGGGAGGAAAGTGCCCTCAGAGACCCTGCTGTAGTCTCCTGGTTTTCTGGTCAAGTAGGGAAAATTCGAACTGCTACAAATTTATGCCAGACATGAAGCTGAATGAACTGCCTGGCACATGTGTTATTCACAGTGTATTTAACTATGGTGCATGATATAAATTTGCTTATGAAGCATTTAAGTGGCAGGTATTTAAGTGGGGTGCTTTACTACTGGGTATTTACCCCAAAGATACAAATGTAGTGAAAAGAAGGGCCATCTGTACCCCAACGTTCATAGCAGCAATGGCCACAGTCACCAAACTGTGGAAAGAACCAAGATGCTCTTCAATGGATGGATGGATAAAGAAGATATGGTCCATATATACGATGGAATATTACGCAGCCATCAGAAAGGATGAATACCCAACTTTTGTATCAATATGGATGGGACTGGAGGAGATTATGCTGAGTGAAATAAGTCAAGCAGAGAAAGTCAATTATCATATGATTTCACTTACTTGTGGAGCATAGGGAATAACATGGAGGACATCAGGAGAAGGAAGGGAAAAGTGAATTGGGGGAAATCGGAGGGGGAGATGAACCATGAAATACTACGGACTCCAGGAAACAAACTGAGGGTTTTTGAGGGGAGGGAGTGGGGGGATGGGTGAGCCTGGTGGTGGGTATCAAGGAGGGCACGTATTGCATGGAGCACTGGATATGGTGCATAAAAATGAATCTTGGAACACTGAAAAAATTAAATAAAAATTTTAAAATAGATCAAAAAATAGATGCGGTGCTCTAAAAGAAATATTAAAATGACTAGATTTTGCCCTACATTTTTAATATTATTAAAAAATATCAAGTACCGCAGCTTGTTTGAAATAAAAGGGGTTTCTGGAATGTATTAGAACAGCTTTCTGAAAGCCAGTATGTGTCTTATGGCCTTTAAGAGACTGAAATACTTACTTTTTTTGACAGGCAGAGATCACAAGTAGGCAGAGAGGCAGGCAGAGAGAGAGAGAGAGAGGAGGAGGAAGAAGCAGGCTCCCTGCTGAGCAGAGACCCCCCCCCCAATGTGGGGCTCAATCCCAGGACCCTGGGATTATGATCTGAGTTGAAGGCAGAGGCTTTAACCCACTGAGCCACCCAGATGCCTTGAGACTGAAATACTTATGATGGCTGATTGAATAAATACATATATCATCATTTCAGAAAACAAAAAGCAGAGCTGTGGGATGCTTTCTTCAGAGGTTGGAACTGTGTCCTCATCTTAATTCTGAAGAACACACAGATATTCCGACTAGGCAGTGGCTCGCCACATCGCCTCGTATGGTCATCAACAGCATCATATGCTTCCAACTCTTTAATCAAGAGGCCAAGAAGTACTACCCAAGATCTGATTTGGTAACTAAGTAAAATTCAGAGAAGCTAAACGCTGTCATCTGAGCCACCCACCATCACTACAGCCATCTGTTTTCCTTTCTTTCGCTCACTGTATGTCCACACCTCTTTCCTTACAAACAGTGAAGGCTGTGTCTCTATGCTTCTGCCTATGTTTCAGAATCTTCTGTCAAAGGAGATGTTGGGGCTAATGTCTCAGGGCCCCTTCCCTCATTTGTGATTCCATGACAAGATTTAGGAAATTGATGTATCTTGAGCTAAATGGCAAAAGAATTCAACCAGGGGGCAGATTAGACATTCTTTAGGTGATGTGAACACTTGACATCCTCTTGAAGAAAGGGGGGAAAGAAGTGAAGAGCAAAGATTCAGCTCATTCCGGACCAGATAAAGCATGAGGCCCAGGGCTGCAGATGCAGATGCTCTGGGCTCCTTGTGACCAGATTGATTCTTACCGCCCAGATGAGGGAGGAGGATGTGGAAGGCGGTGGATTTGCTGTAGCCAAGCAGAGCAGTAGAGAACTGTCTCGTTCTCTAGTAGGTATGGTCCCTAAAAGTGTGAGAACACACCTAGGGAAGGAGGAAATTAAAATCTTAGGAGAGGGGATGCCTGGGTGTCTCAGTCGGTTAAGCGGCTGCCTTCGGCTCAGGTCATGATCTCAGGGTCCTGGGATCAAGTCCCACATCAGGCTCCTTGCTCTGCAGGGAGCCTGCTTCTCCCTCTGCCTCTACCTGCCACTCTGCCTGCCTGTACTCTCTCTATATCTCTGACAAATAAATAAATAAAATCTTAAAAAAAAATGAAATCTTAGGAGAATCTGAGAGAAAAAGCTACAAAACACACACAAAACCACAGTGTTGGATGTTCTGGGAGTTTGAAGAGAGTTGGGGAGCAAGAGTGAGTGATATCTGTATTGTATTGTATTGTATTGCATTGTTTTTATTTTACTTATATTTTATTGTGGCCAGAACACTTAGCATGAGATCTACCCTCTTAAAATTTTCCATCATATAGTATATACATATAATGGCATGTTATTTAGTCTTGAAAGAGAAGGAAATCCTGCAATACATGATGACATGAATGACCTTGAGGACATTCTGCTGAGTGACCTAAGCCAGTCACAAGAAGACAGGTGCTGCACGATTCCACTTACATGGTAAGGAGTGGCTTCCTTCTGGATGATGTCTCATCCCAGCTGCAGCCTCTCCTGATCTCTCCCATTTATGCTCAGGGCTTTCATTTCCCAGCAGCCAAAAGAGAACGTCTTGTAAGAATAGAACCTCCGTGAAGGTCCAGGGCCATCAGATGGATTTATAGACACCAATTATTTTCTTGGAACTGACAGTTACTTCAGTAGAACTTACTATAGACTGTGACCTCTATGGAGGACCCAAACCGACCTAAGAAAGAACCATTACTTCAGACCCTCCAAGAAGTAGATGCCAAGCCTGGGTCAATCATGCAGGGCATTTAGCTGAGAAAATGGGGAGAAAGCTGAAGGAAGCTGGGAGACCATCATGCCATGATGCAGATCTGACATCTGTGAGGAGAGAGGGAAGGAAGAGGGAGAAAAGGAAGAAAAAGGGAGGAGGGAGGCTATGTAGGAAGAAAAGTAGGTCGTGGGCTGCAGTACAATTCCAAGCGAATCTCAGCAAGAGTGGCAGGTCCTTAGGTCAAAGCAGAGCTATGCGGCTCCCTGTCCCTGAGGCCTGCCTCTCCCCACGGGCAGAACCTCTGCACCATGGCTCCAGATATGGGGGTGGGGACACTGGCCCACTTCTCTTGCAATGAGACCCCTGTTCTCTGAGGGTCCCTGGGTGGGGAGGTAAGCCCTAGGCTTTTTGACTTATGGCTCCCAGTGTGGAACCTCCATGCTATAAGCAAAGCAGAATGAGAAAGATCGGGGATTGCAGTCTTGGCCTGCTGTTTCTGGAATGGGGGTCCACCCCATGTGTGAGCACTGGTGGAGAAAGGGAGCTCAGACCCCTGGGCTGCACTTGCTAGGAGTAGAGTTTCTACATCACGGAGCTTGTGGGGTTGAAACGAGCTGGTAGTCTGTGCCAGGAGAAACTGAGGGAACCCTGTGTCCTCAGCCACACCCACAAAGACTAGAGCTTCCACCACACTGAGTTTGGGGGTAGGAGGAGTGCAGGAGGCAGGGAGACACGGCTCAAATGCCCCAAAGTCTCACTGCTGTGACTGAGAATTAGATTTTCTTAAATAAGTGGTTCCTCATTTGCTGTATATTTTGGGAATAACCTTCAAAGACTTTCAGTGGTGGCTCCTAAGTGTCCAGCAGTTTGGTTTCTATCTCTGGGAAGACGGTACCCTAATCTCCTTGTGTGGCCTTTCCAGAAGTGCCTCTCACCCCAGTAAAACTGTACACAAACAGGGGCCAGCCCTGAGCTGTCATTTATCACCTCTTGCTCTGGTGTGATGTTGTCCCACTGAGAAAGCATGGCTACTCTGGTGAATCTTTTCAGTTTCATCCTATACAGACACTGATTCCTCCTCAGACAAAAATTCACTATGGTCCCTCTGAACATAAGCAGATTCTACCTCTCCGGTAGTCTTCCTCACTGATTCCCGCCACTGTGTTCCCTCAAAATCATAACCTCTGTCTCCTCGACTAGGAAAATGTGTCCTGCTCTGTGTCTCCCCCTCACCGTGACTGGACACGGACCCATTTTTTTCTTGCTTTAGAATAATCACAGACACTAATGACTGCGTATGATTGTTTCCTATATTCTACTTGTTTGTTCTGTTTTTTACTTGTATAGAG